ATATTGTAATTTTTAAAATGTATAATTGATATTGTGTAATAGGAAGCAAAGGTCTAAAGGAACAGGGCAAGTGGGAGGGGTAGGGGAAAGGAAAGAAAGGAAAAGAAAAAATATGAGAAAAGGAAAAAATGGAAACAAAGTCTTTGCAAATAGGGAAGGGTGGAGGGGGTGAAGGGAGGGCAGGGGAAGGGGAAAAAAATAATAACCAAGATACTCATTTAATGGTACAAGATCCCAATGATGAAAACTGTATTTTATACCTAAAATGTACCAATAAACTTAATGGGAAAAAATTACAGAAATTAGCCATTATAAACAATGGAGAAAAAATTGATTGAAAAGAATTAAACAGAGCCTAAAGAAGTTGTGGGACAATAACAAAAGAGCTAACATTCATGTCAGTAAAATATCAAAAGAAGAGGATGGGGCTAAAAAAAAAAATACTTGAAGTAATGATGCAAGATTCCCCAAATATGACAAAAGATATAAATGTACCTATCTAAGGAGGCTACCAAACACCAAATAAAATTAACCCTATGAAATCCTCATCAATCCATATCATAATCTAACATCTTAGAAACCAAAGAAGTCTTAAAATAAGGAAGGGAGAAACACCACTATGCTTAACAGCAAAAGCAGTTCATAGGGCAGCAAAGGCAATTCAAATGATAATACATTTGTCATCAGAACCATGGGGGTCAGAATGAAGTGGCAAATTTTTCAAGTGTTGAAATAAAAACAATTACCAGCAAAAATACCCTTCTGAAATGTGCTATTGTTTCCCTAAAAGAGGAATAAAGGTACTTCATGATTCGAGAAAATATACTGGGAAAAAGATCTGATTCTGAAAAGATAAAACGACTCCAATGGCTTCCAGTGGTTCTCAAAAATAGAATCAATCTCTTTCCTCAAACTTCAAGGCCCTCTAGCATTCTCTCCTTATCTCTCTGGCCTCAGTTTCCTTCATCCTCTCCTGCTCATTATCCTCTGATGTCACAAGCTCTTTAGTTGCTTAAACTTGTCAAGTCCCTTCCTGCCTCTGGGCCTTTGCCCAGGTTGTTTCTTTTACCCTAAGACCCCTCTTCTCAACAAAGCCCAGCTCATTCTCATAAAGGAGACTTCTAACCCTAAGCCTGCTTGTATCCTCTGATTCTTTTTCATTGCACACTGTGCTTTTGTCTTTTGGAACATACCACAACTTGTAATCATGAGCTCATTTGTTTTATGTTTATCTGTTCTTCTAGTCTTTATACTCCATGAAGGCAAGAAATTAGCTGTCTCTGTTTTACCATCATCACCTGACACCTTATTTAGTAGGCATTTGATATTTTAATGAATGAATGAAAGATGGTCTGGGTAGTCAAGTTCCTCAGAGGAGGAACTGGGGCCTAGAAGGTGATCTATGCTGAGGTCGGACCAGCCTCAGGCAGCCATTGCTGCAAACACCCGATTCAAATGACACAAATTTTTATTTGTTTAAAGAAATGGCCACATGGCCTGTGGCAGACACCAGACCCACCTGAGGTGCAAAAAATAGAACATGGGTTAGGCCAGAATTTTTTCATCTGGAGAGGTAGGACCCCAGGAGTGCTCGAAATATGCAGGTAAGTGGATATCCGGCTGGACTGAATGGCCACCAGGTTACCACCAACACCTGCAAAGAGAAAAAGAATGTGGTTTCTCATTCTTTATACCACTCTCTAAATTCTCTTATCGTAAGCTCACTTTCTCCAGGAAGCCTTCCTAGATTGAATCAGCATCTGATATCATCTCTTTCCCTCCCACCTGATCTTGTTTAGCACCCAGTAAAGTGGCCCAGACCTCGTGAGCGAGGTATCACCTCGACAGCTGTGGCACCTCTTACAGTGAGGGCAATGTGACTGACAAAGCAGGCTCTCAGTTCTCAGTACGTACTTGTTGGCTGGAAGGAGGTAAAATAAGGGGAGGAAAAACTGGAAAGGAATGAGGATGGGGAGAGGGGAGAGTAGACATAAATGCTCAGCAAGCCACTCCAGGTAGCTATGTTAGACCACAAGGCCATGGGAATGGACAGGAAGCAGACAACAGATGAGAATCACTGAGGGAAAGAAAGGGAAGGGCAGGGAGAGCACAGTGGTTAAGAGTGGAGGGAGACAGGGAGAGGTGATCACGTGTGACAAAGCAAAACACTTCTTATGGCTGGTGGCCTCAGCATTTTTAGGCAAAGTCATTTCTCACTACTGGGATTCAATCTGTGTGGTAAGTCCCTCCGTGGGGACCCCACACTGTTATTACAGAGGCCCACATCATAGATGCTTTAGGTATGTGCATGGAGGGCTATCTGTGAGGAATGCAGGGAGCTGAGGAGTCATGAGTAGATGTATGGAGTGTGGGGCACTGATAAGACCAGAGGCAGATTCAGGAGCCCCAGAAGACCACAAGTGTGTCTGTTCCCTGGAATTCTTGCTAAGCTTTGGCTTCCAAAGGTGTGAAAAAGGTTTTGAGCTCTACCAAGGCCATATAGCCCAGCCCTCAGAGGCCATGCTGAGCTCCTTCTGCTGGCAATAGACTTGGGTACTGGTTAGAGGCTTGACCCCTTTCTATGTCCTCAGCCCCATGGAGAACTTTTCTTAGCAGGATGTGCCGCCGTGACTTCCAGAGCAGAGACCAACCACCTGGCTAGTTCCAGAGGGTGCAAAGAACAGTCTGAAGGCAGAGGATGGCTGCAGATTTATTTTGGTTGGCCCATAAGTGATTTTTAAAAGAGTTAGGGAAACTCTCAAATTAATCGGCAACATTTATAAATTATGCTTTTAATCCAGATTCCAGGCTTCTCTTAATAAGCCAAGTTTGGATCTATTTTTCCACCAAGCCACAATTGGCTGGAGCTGACCAGGCAGGCACCACTCCCTTCACGTTTGCACTGAGATCTGCAGCTTGCCCCTCTCCCCACCATTCCTTACTATACAGCTACTCTCTGGCCTGTTTAATCTACTCAAGTTGTCTGAATGACCCCCAAAGGCAGATGAGTCACTGACATCTGAAGAATTCTACAGATATTGCCCACCATCTCCTGCTGTCCTCACTATGTCCAGTTACTGCAGGGCTCTTCCAGGTTGAAACATGCAGGGGGGACCTACTTGCCACCCAAGAAGCATAGGCATCATCACCCTCAGGGTAGGGTAGGGGATGCTATGGATATTCAGGGTCTGCCCAAGGGGCTGTGAAGCCCATTTCTGCAGTCCCAGAAGGCCAAAGCCTGCAAACCAATCAAATAGGGGAATGATTTAGTATGCTTTGTTCTTCAACTGACTAGCAAGTTCTGTTTCCAGAGCTTCATGAGATACCAGACATCAAACCAAGAAGGATCATCAACTCAAATGCCCATAGGGTATAGGGTATAAAAAAGTGATTAAAAGAATGGAGTCACATGCAGGAAGGAACAGGGAGTGGTAAGGGATTGAGGCAAATTGGAAACACAGGTCCTGTGTTAGGGTAGGCCTAGAATATAAACCCAGGATTGTCTCAGCCTTCATTTTTAAGGTGAAGACAGAAACTCAGCTTTGAATCTGTAAATATCTGAGTTTCAGGGGCACCAGTGGATCTTTAAAAACCCACAGGAGCCCAATACCTCAGTTCTGAGAGGCCACATTCAGTTTTCAGATGCCAACAAAGCCAGGGTTAAACTCTGCCTTCTAGGCCTGGGATTTATCTGTTAGGAAAGCTCCTGTCTTGGCAGTGCCCATGAAGACAGTGAGCAGGGCTTCCTCCCCCAGGTCTCTTTTCACCTGAGACAAACCAACTCCAGCGGCCCAGAAGACAGCAATATGCCCATGGCTCAGCTGTGCAACTGCCTCTGAAAGCTGGTGCTGGACTGATGTTCAGGCCCAACCGGACCCGATGGACGAACCCAAGCCAGGGACCCCAAGGAAACCATGTTAGACACCTACCACACACAACAGGGGTAAATATGGCCATGCCTTTGTACTGGGGCTTAGAAATGGTTTTTCTCAGGATGAGCCCTCCAAAACTGGGGAGAGAGGAGACAACAGTCAAATGAGCAGAGCTGGCGCTCAGAGAGGCCCTGCCAGTCTACTCTATGCAGACAATCCCATTGGTGTGCCCTCCCAGCCCCAGCTTTCCCCTACACAGAACATCTGGTGCAGTCTAGTGGACTCTCCTACATCCTCTGTGCCCAGTTTTCCCATCCCAATTTTGAGTCTTGACTGTTCCAGTAGGCCCATCAGATAATGACAACCCATTACAAAACAAATGCATGGCTTTGGGAGGCTAAGTTGGCTCAACTCAGCTCAACTCAGTTGGCTGAGTTCCCTCAATGGATGGCTCCTCATCCACGACTGAGATGGGCTTCAACAGGAAATACAACCTGCACAGAATCACTTCATGGCTCTGAATCACTTCCTGGTCCTGTTCTGCTCTCAGGAACTGCTGCAACAAGACCTTGTTGCCAGCAGCCACTGTAGTTTAGCAAAGGTTTGCCCACCCCTGGAACTTCTGAGAAGTCTGGGAAAGGTAGGTCAATTTGAATAGGAGCCCAGGAACCTTTTGGAAGCAAAAATACCTGGACCACAATCTCTTTTCCCTGAGATTCAGTTTAAAACGACATGACAGAATGGACTGTGGTGGCCCCATCATAGGCTCCTTGTAGGAAAGGGGTCTTAAAAGTAGGGGTGGAGGGCCGGGGACTTAGCGGTTCCAGCACCTGCCTCACAAGCGCAAGGTCCCGAGTTTGATCCCCAGTATCAAAAAAAAAAAGTAGGGCTGGAAGGAAGCAGACCTGGATTCCCCTAAAGACTCTAAAAGTCCACAGGGAACCCCACAGTCCTCCAGATCACACCAATAGCCACGCTGTGGACACTGACCAGAGTTAACTTTATCACCCTAGTCTATAATAAGGGGCCCTGCAGTTAAGCAGGGGTCTGGCCCAGCCCTGGACTGAGAAGTCAGTGTCCCACAGCACTAAATGTGGTGAGTTGCCGGGGCTCCAAAAGATGTATCTGATCTGCCAGTCTGGTCTCTGGTGCTGGCAACTGTAAATAGCGTGGCTTCTATGAAATAAATGAGGTCCAGGATTCGCTGAGAGTACAGCTGGTACTCTCCAGTTCTGGGAATTAATACGGGAGCCCAGGCTACATGCCACTCCACAGACTGAAGCTCTTGCGGGGAGAGGAAGAAGCACTGCAGTGTGTCTTACTCAGGCTCACCTGCTGATAACCATGGCAAGAATGATTGGAAACCACCCAAACTTTAGGATCTTCATGACTGGGGGGTTCTGCTTGGCAATGAGGACCCACAGGGGGATGAGAGCCATGAAGCCAACGCAGACCAGTGGTGTCAGATACCAGGTGTCTGAAATAGAAAGCAGATACTTGCAGCTCATGTGGCCAAGGCTAGCACACCAGGCTCGGCCTGGCCAGGTTGGGCCTGGGTTTCTCTGGCAAGAGGCAGGCAGGGAACCAAGGACAGGGAAGTCTGAGGAGCCACTTCTATCTTCATCTTTTGGGATGAACAAGCCCATCATACCATCCAAATATTCTTCACTGTCTCATTAAGCAACTAGAAGAGCTCCGCTCTGTCTTCAATTCACCTCTGCTTCTCAGCTGTTTGCTACTTTCCACACATAAATGTCCTGCCAGCCCACTGTAAGGAGAAGTACCCTACAGGACAGTGACCATGTGACAGCAGTTCCCCTGCAAGATCTCATTTCATGTTCTCCATACCCTGCTCATATGTCAGGAGCAAACCAAAGCATGAAGAGGTGGCTGCCCAAGGTGCACAGCAGCAGCTAGTGACAGCTGGGACTATGGAAAGCTGGAGCAGGTGCATGACGCCATCCCTCTCCTGGCTGAGCCATTTAAGGTGATGTCCTTGTTGCCATGTCTCTCACAGGGCATGGATCAAGGTCAGCCTGGTAGCTACTCATGTCACCATGTCATCACTGCCAATGGGTACAAGGCTAGTGAAGACTGGCATCTGGATAGTCCACTCTTACCCTGGGTCCAGTGTACTCAAGCACCTTTTGAATTTACTCCCTTCTTTGTATTCTGTCTGTGACTTTCACCATTCACATGTGCATAGAACACCATCAACTTTCTCTAGGACTGTCTTCGCATCTTGGCCCCACCCTCCCAGGGGCAGGCTCAGGGTGTACACACTGCATGTACCTGTTCTCCACTGGTTTTAACCCTGAAGCACGTATCTAAGTGGCCAGAGCAGCCTTAGGCCCTAAGTATTCTCCTTGCATATTTCTGTCCTAAAAGTGGAAATTAACAATCACATATCTACTAAGGTCTCTCCAGGACACTTTGGATCTGCTAAATGACCTCAGACTTTCTCCTATAAAAAGAGGACCTCTGATTCTGCAACACCCTACCCTAGGTTCCTTCCTATGCGAACAGTACCTGATTTGAATGCTATGGCTGGATGCCAGAGTACTCACTCAGCTCAGCCTTGCTGGTGACCTAGCCAGGGCCCCTCTTCCCTGAAGCTCTCCCTACCTTTGTGTCTATAGAAGAAGCTGCTAAGCAAAGCTAGAATGGACAGTGTGATGAGGTCTCCCAGGCTGGCTGCAATGGGTGTGGCAATGTTGTCTGGGTTGACCCCCAGTTTTCGAGCACCAACCACTATACAGACCATCAGCATTCCTACAGGGAGAGACGAAGGAGAACAGGGTAAGTCCCAGGCGGTAGTTGGTCCTGAGAAGGCTTAGTGGCCTAGATGTCTGTGGCCTGGGAGAGGGGACCAACAGGTGGCTTCATGGCCTATATCTCCAGAAGCAGGGACACAGAGTGCCATGGAGCCAGGGTCTAGGCAGGTGCTGGGGTACACACAGGGTGCATCTCACCTAGGGCAAAGGCTGCGAGGAAGGCAGTGAGGACGCTGCTGGCACACAACAGTGACACCTTGGCCAAGTCTAACCCCTCTCTAGACATGGCACCCAGCAGCAGGGCAGCCATTGCAGCCAGAAGCCCCACAACAGTGGCCTGCACCTGTTGAGGCAGAAATGAGACACATAAGAGAGGGTCCTTCTGCCCATAACCACTCCTTCTGCCCTCCACTGTACCTCCCCCTCCCCTGATGTAAGGGGATGCTGCTGCTCACTACTGGCTCTGGTCAACATCTGTTGGCAGCCCTCCATTTCAAAGAAACAGACCCTAGTACTTCCCTTCAAGCTGCTTCCCTCCATTCCCTTGCTAGGCGCCACCTTGCCTATAGAATCAAAAGCCTCCTCTGTGACTCTGGCCTCAGTCAAGGAGCACTCTGGCTCCTGCTCACACCCCCACTCTCACTGGTCTTCTGACTGTCCCTCCTTGGTACCTGCCCTACACGCTGGTATTTCCTGACTCACAGTCCCATCAGAGTGCCATCCATCTCCATCCTGCAGAGCACTCAGTTCTGTGGCCACACAGATCCTTGCCACAAGGTGTTCAGATCTGAACCCCAGTATTGGAACCTCTGATTCAACATGTCAAATGGAAATGTGTTATGTTTTGGAAAAGGCTGACAGAAAAAAGAGCCATCCATGTTCATGGATGAGAAGAGCTAGTTTTTGAAAGACGGAAAATGTTTCAAAATGAATCTCTGTATTTCCAATCAAAGTCTCCAGAGGATTTTTCATGGTACTTGATGAGATGTTTTATTTATTTATTTATTTATTTATTTGGTACCGGGGATCGAACTCGGGTCCTTGTGCTTACGCGGCAGGCAGCGAAACCACTGAGCTAAACCCCCAGACCTTGATGAGATGTTTTAAATGTCACAAAAATGAGTAAACATGCGAGAATAGCTAAGATGATTTAGAAAAAGAAGGTCAAAAGAAAGAAGTAGGCCAAAGGAAGAAGGCCAAAGAAGTTGTTCTGGCATATTTATCATCAAAATTATGTTAAAGCTATAGTAATAAAAGTAGTGTGGCACTGACAGAAATAGACAATCAGCAGGACAGAGTAGAGCTCAAGAACAGGATCATGAATATGTGAAACTCTAAAATTTGATATATTAAAATGCAATCATGAATATATGAGATTTTGGAATGATACATATAGCATTTCAAATCACTGTGGAATTGGTGAATACTGGGTAAACAAAGTGGAGGAAACTGAACATCTATGTTTGGGGAAAAAATGGGTTTCTATTTCATATCAAACACACACACACACACACACACACACACACACACACACCCCTAAAAATTAAAACCCACCATGTGAGTGGGGACAATACAGCCCAAGGTGTGTGCACATTCCTGCTCAGGCCAAGGCAAGGAGAGTGGGATGGGGCGGGACATGAGGCTGCTGAGCAAGACAGTGATGGCCCACACCAGGACAAGAGGAATCCAGGTGCCATCAGCTGAAAGGCCACCAGGGGGCCATACAGAGGATAAAATGGAAGCAGTTGGAAGGGCACAGAATTCTATAGATTTCAGTCGGGGAGAAAGTGAAGCAGGGCTGGATTCAGACAAGACTCTGAGGTAGAGTCCTCAGAGAGGGTAGATGTGAGAGTGAGGCGTGTGGGGAGAAGCTGAGGACACTAGTGGGAAGGACTAGTCATAAGTATAGCTGACATGAGTGGGTGATGTCAGCTTTCCATCAACTATAACAAAATGCTAGACATAACCAGTTTATAAAGAGAAAAGGTTTACTTTGGCTCATAGTTTTGGAGGTTCTAGTCCATGATCAATTGGCCCCACTGTTTTGGCTCTGTGGTAGCACATCACATCAGGAGTGCATGGCAAAGCGAAAGTGCTCACTTCATGGGCAGGAAGCAGAGAGCGAGGAGGGGCCTGGGATTCCACACTTCCTTCCAAGAGCACACCTGAAAGACCTCCCACTAGGTTTCAATGCCTAACAATTCCATAACTTCCCAACAGCCCCATAGGCTGGGGACCTTTGTTTAACTCATGGGCCTTTGGAGGACATTCCAGACCCAAATTATTTCCAGCCATGTTCTCCATAAATGCCACAGTCCTAAACTATCATGACCTCACTGCAACTCATTTTACAGACAATGAGGTCCTTCAGCTGGCTGAGTCCCAGAGTGAACCGTCCACTGTCACACTGGACAGAGTGGAGGATGTTCAGAAGAAGTGAATGTGAGGAGGGAAAATAATGACCAGATCTGGCTATGCTGTTTTGGGGATGCCTGTGGAACAGGCAGGTAGAGATACTCTGTTAGACGTAGGGACTCTGAAATCCAGGTGAGGGGTATGGTGAGTGTCACTGATGGACCAGGACACATAGCATGGCCCAAGGCTACCAGTTGACAGGTAATGGGCTGTCTGATTTCAAGAGTCCACTCTTCTGGTGATGTCACAAGCTACTCCCACCCAGAGAAGCCCAGAAAGTTTTAGGAAGGAGCACCTGATAGTTAGGTCCACAACCAGCCTTCCTTCTTGCCCCCAAGATAATCTCCTCACTTCCTCCTGCCCTGGCTCTTCTGGGTGTAATGCTCAGTAATTAGGATCCTCAATGAGAACTTAGCCCAAAGAGGGTCTGGCAAGAGGAAACACAAGTTTGAGAAGAGCATAAAGAACTCAAAGGGCTAAGAGGATCTCTCAGAGGCTGACAAAGAACAAGCAGGCAGGCAGGAGTGGGGCAAAGGGGGAATTTCAGGCAGAAAGTATCCATCAATGTCCCCCAGAAAGGTTAAATAAAGTCACATCAAAAAATCTCAAGATGTATCAATTAGCAGAACACCAGTGACCTTGGAAAGAACAGTTTGAGTCAAAATAGCGAGAGAAATAAATCTGTTAGCATATGCAGAGAACAACCAAGTATAGGTGGATTTTTCAAGAATTTGGTTTGAAAGGAACTGGGTAGAGAAGCAGAATCTTCAATGCCAAGAGAGATATCACCTTCAGGTGGATGTGGCAGTGCCCTAGAGGTGGGCTTGAGTCCTCAGCAGCGGCAGGAATGGGGCCAGCTGGACAGACCATATGTCCTCAAAGTTCAGTCCAGAGTGCTGGGACAAGGGCTCATATAGTCCTCCCCCTTCCTGCCTGGAAAGGTCCTGGCTGAAGATTCAGAAAGGGAGGGCTGTGACAATATGACAAAGTGAAGCTTCACCTGAATGAGGGCAAGGTTGCTGCTGATGACTCTGTGTTTCTCCTGGGGGTCATCAATTTGTCCAGTGTTGGCCTACAATAAAGAGAAAGGGACAAAAGGTAAGTCTGGCTGAGCCCAAAGCAGTTTAATCCATCCTAGAGCAGAAGACTCTCTGGAGAGAAATCAAGAACTATCATTTTACTGACTTCAGAACAAATTAGGCTGCCTGGCTTCCTAGACAGCAACTCAGTCTCTTTTGAGGGAACTGGGAGACAAAGGTAAGGCCACAGTCCCCTTGAGAAAGGGAGGTGTCACGGACCATTCCTCTATGTGCATGTATGTGTGTGAACATACACACATACATGCACATATGCAGAACAATTGTGCTGGGAATTATTTCAAGGCCATCTCCAACTCTTGAGCTCACACATGAACTCAAGGTAAGGCCTCCTATTGTGAAATGTACATAGGCAGATACTGGGTGACAGACCCATCACCCACAATTCCCTTCTCTACTTTCCAGCTGGCCCTACCCCAATGACCTGGCCCTGCCCATCCTTTGCAAAACCAACCCATTTAAGAGATGCACCATATGTTTCTTCTCTCATAGGGTAAAAAATATAATCAGACTTTCTCGCTTAAAAGTGGTAGTTGTCTCCTAATAGCATAGTATATGCCAGCAAAATAACAAAAACATGCAATGCATATATATTTTTCTAGCTCCTTTTATTTTTTTTCCCCTTAAATTCTTTTATTGGTACATTTAAGGTAAACAATATATTTACATTTATCACTGGGTGCTTGTACCTGTACATGATGTATCTTGGTTCTTATTTTTTTCCCCATTACCTGTGCACCCTTCACCCCCTCCACCCTTCCCTACTTAGACTTTGTTTCCACTTTTTTTTCTTTTCTCATAATTTTTCCTTTCCCTTCTTTCCTTTTCACTTCCCCTCCCACTACCCCTAACCCTTTGGACCTTTTCTTCCTATATCAAATTATTAATTATTCATTTTAATCATTTTAATTCTTATTTACACTTTCAGTTCCTTACACTAGAGAAACTATTCAGTATTTATACATGTGGGTCCTATTAATTTCACTTAAGAGTATGGCCTCAATATGCATCCATTTGACTAAAAATGTCACTAGTTTCTCATTCTTTATGACTGAGTAGTACTCCATTTTATTAAAAAACCCACATCTTCTTTATCCAGTTTCCAGTTGATGGGCACTTGAGCTGTTTCCAAGCTTTAGCTATTACAAACTGTGCCGCTGGAAACATGGGTGCACATATATCACTGTGGTATGATTCTTTTAATTCTTTAGGGAAGATACCCAGCAAGGGAATAGTTGGGTCAAATGGGACCTCTAGCCCTAGTTCTTTGAGGTATCTCCATACTGATTTCCATAGTGGTTGCACCAGTCTGCACTCCCACCAACAATGAACGGTTTCTTTCTCCCCACACCCCAGCTAGCATTTGTTACTGGTTGATTTCTTGATAGCAGCCATTCTTTGTGGGGTAAGGTGGAATCTCAGTGTTGTTTTCATCTGCAATTCTCGAATAACCAGTGATGATGAACATTTTTTCATATATTTATTTGCTGCTTTTACTTCTTTGTCTGAGAAATGTCTGTTCATTTCAGATGCCCATTTTTGAATTGGATTTTTGA